TGATCAGCTCAGCTGTAGTTTTGTTTTCACTTTGGACCGCTACTATTTATTATATATATATATATATATATATATATATATATATATATATATATATATATATATATATATATATATATATAAAAGCTTAAATACTAATATTCCATGGTCATAATTTATTCCAGTGGAAATAATGATCAATTCATGAGACCTACAAATTCAATTTTTTTTAATTTGTAGGTCTGATGAATTGGATCGTATTTACGATTACAATGGAATAAATTCTGACCATGGAATATTAGTGTTTAAGCCTTTTTATTATATCCTTACTCTGTCCTTGACATTGAGTTCTACCTGGATTCTATCCTCTTGGAATCATTTTTTTATTTTATACAAAAATATATATGTATGTGTATGTATGTATGTATATATATTTATATATTTTGCATATGTATGTGTATATTTACCACTAATATATATATATATATATATATATATGGGAATTTTACTATCTTGTCGACATGAAAAAAACTCTTAGTATGAAGGAAGTTAACATTAGCTTGAGAGGGGCTTATGCAAAAGCGTCTCTCTCTCTTTTTAAATTTTGGATTTAATGTAACTACTAAAACAAAAACATTTCGCTTTCATTGTTTGCCTTGACAAAGTCGGAAGACAGAACGCGTCGACATAAACTAAAAAAATTTCTATTGTCACTCTTATATCATATATATATATATATATATATAATCAGCTATATATTTATATAATCAGCTGCTAGTTTGAAGAGCCACCTTCGAAGTTATTCAAGAGGAAACAATGATCTAAAATGGATGTAAATGTTGATGGGCAAGACGGTAGTCACCTTTGAAGATGGGACAATCAATATATATATATATATATATATATATATATATATATATATATATATATATATATATATATATATGGGGCGTTATATCTAACTCTCTTGTCGCTGAACCAGTTTTTGCACGTCAATCAAGATGGAAGCTGCCAGACGAACAAGTGTACGAATAACAGAATGATTCACTTCCGGGCTACTTCATCGATAACATACACACAGAAAGACACACGGACAGACAGAGACAGACACAGAGATAGAGACAGACAGGCAGAGGGAAGGAGAAAACAGTATAAAATGTTCCTTGGTGCAGTGTCATGTCAAATAGTACAAGAAAGTTAAAGCGGTCGCGATCCGGGTCACATCTAACCTGATAGGACAGCCACTCGTTCACAGCTGGGGACCGGCTCGCCAATGAACGTTCACACGCATCCACAAAATTTGTATGGTCAAGTTTCACACTGTTCGGACGATGACAAGAGGCGTGTGAACAGACACAGGGCGGACAGCAAATATCCTGGAAGGGGATGAAGAGTGGGAACATTGCGCACCTGTAATACACATTGCGACGACATCACGACAATTAACGTTCAATTACTTTTCGTACATGGATATGTCGGATACATACACTTCTTTTGATATATATACGTATCTTCATTAGTATATATAAGGATGAATTTAAGTCGATATATATACAGTGTATCACAAAAGTGAGTACACCCCTCACATTTCTTCAAATATTTAAGTATATCTCTTCATGGGGCAACACTGACAAAATAACACTTTGACACAATGAAAAGTAGCCTGTTTGCAGCATATATAACAGAGTTAATTTATTTCTCCCTCAAAATAACTCCAAATATAGCCATTAAAAGCTAAATCCCTGGCAACAAAAGTGAGTACACCCCTTAGGAAAAGTTGTCAATATTAACATACAACATGTCAACTATCAATATTTTGTGTGGCCACCATCATTATCCAAAACTGCCTTTACTCTCCTGGGCATGGAGTTTACCAGAGCTTCACAGGTAGTCACTGGAATGCTCTTCCACTCCTCAATGACGACGTCGCGGAGCTGGCGGATATTTGAGACTTTGTGCACCTCCACCTTCTGCTTGAGGATGGCCCAAAGATGTTCTATTGGATTCAAGTCTGGAGACATGCTAGGCCAGTCCATCACCTTTACCCTCAGTCTCTTCAGTAAAGCAGTGGTTGTCTTGGATGTGTGTTTGGGGTCATTGTCATGCTGGAACACTGCTCTGCAACCCAGTTTCTGGAGGGAGGGGATCATGCTCTGCTGCAGTATTTCACAGTACATGTTGGAGTTCATGTTTCCCTCAATGAAATGTAACTCTCCAATACCTGCAGCACTCATGCAGCCCCAGACCATGACATTCCCACCACCATGCTTGACTGTAGGTATGACACATCTTTGTACTCCTCACCTGGTCGCTGCCATCAGAACCAAACAAATTAAATTTCGTCTCATCAGATCATAGGACATGGTTCCAGTAATCTATGGGCTTTGTTGACATGTCTTCAGCAAACTGTTTGCAGGCTTTCTTGTGTATTGCCTTCAGAAGAGGCTTCCTCCTGGGGTGACAGCCATGCACACCAATTTGATGTAGTGTGCGGTGTATGGTCTGAACACTAACAGGCTGAATCCCAATCTCTTTAATCTCTGCAGCAATGCTAACAGCCCTCCTACGCCGATCTTTCAAAGAAAGCATTTGGATGTGACGCTCAGCACGTGCGCTCAGCTTCTTTGGACGACCTACCCGAGGCCTGTTCTGAGTGGACCCTGCTCTTTTAAAATGCTGGATGATCTTAGCCACTGTGCTGCAGCTCAGTTTCAGGGTGTTGGCAATCTTCTTGTAGCCTTGGCCATCTTTATGTAGTGCAACAATACGTTTTTTAAGATCCTCAGAGAGTTCTTTGCCATGTGGTGCCATGTTGGAACTTTCAGTGACCGGTAAGAGAGAGTGTTAGAGCTGCACTACAAATTTGAATACACCTGCTCCCCATGAACACATGGGCATAGTTACACTAATGAGTCACATGACATTTGAAGGGAAAAATGAAAAGCAGTACTCAATTTAGACATTTAGGGGTGTAGTTTTTAGGTGTGTACTCACTTTTTAGGGGTGTAGTTTCTTAGGGGTGTACTCACTTTTGATGCCAGGGATTTAGCTTTTAATGGCTATATTTTGAGTTATTTTGAGGGGAAAACAAATTAACTCTGTTATATATACTGCAGACAGACTACTTTTCATTGTGTCAAAAGGTAATTTTTTCAGTGCTGTCCCATGAAGAGATATACTTAAATATTTGAAGAAATGTGAGGGGTGTACTCACTTTTGTGATACAATGTATATATATATATATATATATATATATATATATATATATATATATATATATAAGGCAAGATGTGTGTGTGTGTGTGTGTGTGTGTGTGTGTGTGTGTGTGTGTGTGTGTAACAATGCACGGCCGCAATTTTCGACGGATTTGCACTAAAATTTACATGCACATGCTCCAAGTTAGAGGCCAAGAGCGACTTTGCATTTCCCAACTCCCATCGATAGTGGAAATAATCGATTTTTTCATGCTTCTACGGTAGTTTTCATGTAGTTTGCAGCCATTTTGTACTAGCCGGAGTGAGAGGCAATAGCTGGCTGCCACGAATAGGCAGGAAAATTCTATTGGCCAGCGTGAGAGCCAACAGCTGACTGACACGAATGTTAACTAGCATGCTAGTATGCAAAAAATCGATTGCTGCATTCGTCACAAGTGGGAAAAATTTAAATCTGTATGGCACTTTACTCCAATTGGCTCATTCGTTTCCTTAAACTCAACGTTGATTCTGATTCCGCAGAAGTGGGTTGTGTGTGAAAAAGTATTTGTTGTTAACATTCTTTTGTCATTCGGTTTTTCCAGTTACGAGTCCTTTTTTAAAGCTGATCGTTTTGTGTCCATTTTGTTTAGCTCTTTTTTCGTAAGAGATTTAATGTTTAGTATAGAGCTTAGAATAAATTCGCAGTGTGAGATAGGCAAGAAGTAAGGCATGTAGCAACATCAGCACGGCAAAGTGTACTCCTTTAAAGGCAAGGAAGGGCAAAAATATTTTAAGTCAAGTGATAGCGATTGCTGTATGAGTCGTACGATTTTTGACTCAAGCACAGCAACGCCGGGCCATGCTGCTAGTATATATATATATACATCCTTGTGTAAATTAATTGGAACAATCGCTTTAGTTTCCTTTCTTTCACCGTACGATCGGTTTTAGACCCACTGGAGTGACAGGTTGCAGTCGATTTCTATCTTTTCCTTTTCAAGGTGTATGATGAAATTTGTTTGGCCTTGAAAATTATTGCGTCATCCGTGATTGCATCAGATTTTTATCACACCCAGACACTATTGTGTCGACTAGCGATTAATGGTCCTACGGCTATTTTACACGATGGACGTTACTCCAAAGAAGCGTACGAAAATGGTAACGCTGCACAAACACACTGGCAAGACTTACCAGTGAGTAAATCAAAGTACTATCGACTGGTTCGGAAACTCACCTGGTTTAAATCCAATCAAGAACCTGTGGTCAATCTGCAAGGAACGACTTCGTAGAATGAACATATGAAGTACTAACATGTGCACTGGGTCATGTTGCATTGGAAAAATGCGAAAAAATAAACAATGACGGAATTATTCGTTTTGTTTCAATTAATTTCCACAAAGGTGTATTTTGAAAAGTGTATTTGTAAACAGTGACTATTACTGCTGCTAATGCAAGACTCTTCGTTAAGACGAACTGAGTTCACCGGTCACTATTTAAAGATAAATACGTATAAATTCACCTTAACCTTCTGTGCGCCAATGGCATAAGGGTAGGGTCTCCGACTGATATCAAATCAGTCGAGTTGCAATCCCGGCTTGAGGCAATCGTATAGATAGATAGATAGATTAATAGATAGATAGACAGACCGACATAGATAGATACTGACACACATATAAAGAAAGAAAGGAAGAAAGTCACACTGATGAGCTGTGAGACAGTCTGTCGGTGGATGACAATATATATATATATATATATACATATATATATATATCCCGCATTATACACAATACACCTCTTTCTTGTTATTAGGTACACAAGTTCAAAGCTTATGGCCATATCACGTTGAAAAAGCTGGTTCCAGTACGATCACCGAAGTTAAGCAACGTCGAATCGAACCTGGTCATTACTTAGATGGGTGACCACTTCGGAATACCGGGTGTTCTTACTTTTTTAGTTCTGATCCGTTTTTTTTTTAACAATCTCCTTTGTCTGACTCCCTTCATTGTAGTCTCCACCCGGCACAGGTCCCGAAACGTCAATTCTATTCAAAAATCATACATTGAAAAGATGATTGGATGATGAAGTTATAAATACAATTAAGTCAGTGTTGAGATATGTTAGAGTTGGAATAGAAACAGAAAGATGTGTGTTGCTTGGGATGAAACTATATTAGATAAGAGAGAGGAAGGGAAAGAAAGAAAGAAAGAAAGAAAGAAAGAAAGAAAGAAAGAAAGAAAGAAAGAATTATTGAAGGTAAGAGAGAAGGAAAATAAAATTTAATATTAAAAATATTAAATTTAGTATTTCTTTCTTCCTTTCTTTCTATGTATGTCTGTATCTATCTATCTATCTATCTATCTATCTCGGCTTCTCTGTCTGTCTATCTATCTATCTCGGTCTGTTCATATATATCTCTGGATATATCTATCTATCTATCTATCTATCTTTGTCAGTTCATATATATCTATCTATCTATCGATCTGTCTGTCTATCGAGCTAGCTATCTATCTCGGCCTGTTCATATCTATTTATCGATCTGTCTAGCTATCTATCTCAGTCTGTTCATATCTATTTATCTATCTATCTATCTCGGTCTGTTTATATCTATCTACCAATCTATCTAGGTGTGTTCATATCTATCTAGCTATCTATCTAACTCAATTTGTTCCTATCTATCCTTTTATCCTCTTAAATTACATGGCTTACGGCCAATTCACGTTGAAACACCTGTTCTCCGTACGATCAGCGAAGTTAAGAAACATCGAACTCAGTCAGTACTTAGATGGGTGACCGCTTGGAGATACCAAGTGCTGTAAAATGTGTGGGTGCTATAATGGATAATGGCTCGGAATTGTTAGTCAAGTTTCAATTTCTATTAGGTTCATGTATTCACTTACTCGCAAATACCCTTAGGAAAGGTATGAATCCATTTTTCTCCTCCTAGGTATGGGTTAATTAGTAAGACGTGTATTACTAAACCATTATTATCTTTAAAAAATCTTACAATGAAAAATATTTTCTAGCTTAAATAACCTGCAAAGGGTTGATAAATGGTAGAAAATGAATGAATCAATCAATCAAATACTGATTAGCTACACAGGTATGTAGTTGAGATTTATTTACATTGTCTGTGATATAAATAAGTAGAAACACTCTCGGTCACAAAGTGAGGGATCCGTTGATATATTGATTTTAAGAAGAAGAAGAAGACATGGATATATGTCATAAATTACTGTCACGTGAGAAATGAAACGCACCTACTGAAAAAAGCTACGAACTTTTGAGTCAAATCAACTTATTGATCCCATTATTTAATTTCGCCCTCACTGGGAATAGGGTTTTAAGAAATAATTGTCCTTTTACGAGATCTAATTTATGATTGAGTTCGATTCGCAAAGCCAAATGAATTTGATATATATTAGTTTTAATTCAGTCTGGCACAAGGTCACATGTATGAAATACCAAATGAGGAATGACAGGAAATGACCAACGCCATGCTGGTAAGTTTTCATCATCAGTTGTGATGATTGGTTGTCTGAAGGAGGCATTTTGCCTGAAACGTCTGTTGGGACTGAAGTTCATTCTGGACCTCAAGTGGGATATATGATCCATCGCTAAAGATGCCTGTCTGTCCCATGTACCGGGCTCCAACAAGTATCTGACTCTTTCTAGCATGGTCTCTCTTTAGAAAAGCCAGATCTGTCCAAAAATGGAGTATTGCTGTCACATTTGGGCTGGAGTTGCTCAGTCCTCTCCTTCCAGCCTCGACAAAGTTCAAAAGCATCTGCACTCTCCCCCGGGGGATGAATTATTTTCCACCCTACAGCCCTGTTCCCACAAACGTCTCGTCGCCACACAAACTGGGTTGACTCATCTTGGTTACTTTCATATTAACTTCTTCCTCAGAAATATTGCATTGTGGGACAGAGTCTCGAGGAAATGATTTCCCGATCACTAAATTTTGTATTTACTCAAAAACGACGAGGTCAGGTTGTGACACAAGGTCGGTTTAATGTGGGGACCCCGAGCGCGTACACCCGAGCTAGGAACAAAAATTACCCGCAACCCCCGAAACCATCGGTTCAGCTAACCTCGATACGAGAACCGATCCCTCTCTCTGGTGCAATGAGAGGACGCGGCCTCGGGCAGCTGTGCCCCAGTACAATTTTCCTCAGCTGCGATTCTGTCCTTTGACGGAGTCGCCCCAGAGTGCACTCTGCCCAAGGACAGAGACGCAACTGAGAGATGATAAATGGATGTGTTACAAACCCCTCGAGGCAGGGATTTACGTACTAAAATGTTAACCTCGTCAAGTTTAGGGTCAGTCGTTATCTGGCCTGCATATGCTCATATGCACTTCCTACCTGTACAGACTTACAACAATTGCGTTGAATAACTCTATACTTGGAGTGACTCTTCAGCCTTTTATTGGGTTAACAATAATAAATAAAAAAGAAAAACGTCACTAACCTGGTGATCGTCGCTCCATGGCAGATGTCGTAGAAGACAAAAATTTATTACTGTCAACAATGACTGTGACGTAAGACAATGACCTTCGCAAAAAAAACTATTTATCCAGTACCACCTGTTCGTTCGGTCAGCTGTCGGGAACAGCCTATGCATATTCACACACCTACGCAAACAAATATATAAACTAACAAACATATGTAGATACTTCATCTATGGCGTGCGCGCGCATGTGTGTGTGCTTATGAGTGAATGTTTAGTAGACCTCGATTTAACGGATAATGGCGTGATATTCAACATGCAACGTGGAAAGTACGGTTAATCCGATAACAGTCTACATCTAAAACATGCTTGGTTTGGTTTGGTTTGGTTTGGTTTACGGCATATTAACCTGAATAGGTTATTTAATGCCGACAAGGTTTTAATTGCTAGTAACACTTTTTCTACAAAAATTAATTGCGGGTAATAATCTTTTACAAAAATGTATTCCTGGTATTAAAACCTATTTTTACACTTTCATAGTGTTTTGACACCAGTTTCATGGTCATCTATTTGCCCATAGCTGGGTCCCTAACAGGTGCTACCACCACGGGTCAGTGTGGACCTGGGAACACCAGCAATTAAAAGGTGGTTCCACGCTCCTCAAAACCTTCTGATCAGAGACCTTGCTACTGGATGTAGTTTATCGTCTTACCCAGGAAGCGGATGTAGTTTATCGTCTTACCCAGGACAGAAAATATGCCTTAGTGTAATATGTATCATGTATTAGGTTGAGTAATAAGTAATTTCCATTGGAGAGGGGGGGTTACGACCACATCACGTTGAAACACCGATTCCCGTACTATCGCCGAAGTTAAGAAACGTTGAATCTAGTCAGTACCTCGATGGGTAACCGCTTGGAACTTCCAGGTGTTGTAAGCTTGGATGTGCGGTGGTGTAATGGATAATGGCTCACGAATGTTAATCAGAGAGCCGGGTTCCAGCCGTGTTCAGTATTCTATCTTGGAATACAGTGATGTTCAATGCGTGTTCTCTCTCAGAATTTGTATGGCCTTTTATGCACGCAGTCATCCAATTGACGCGATCAGAAGCCATTTCTTCAAATGACGACAGAAAGATGTCAATAAAATTTGGGTTTGGCTAAAGTTTATCCTCGACAGGGGGTTCTTGCCACTTTCCGAGCAGCGTCATGCACGTGACTGTACATGAGGATTTTTGGTGTCCTTTCATCAATCATGCACACAATATGATCGCCGTTGCATTCACACTGGAAATATCTCTCCGAATTCCCATTTTGAAAAACAGATTAAGATTAGAATTTCTTTCTTTCAGATTATAGCCACAGATTGTACGAAGGCATCACATATGTAAGACGTATATTTGTGTGTACGCATATGCTGTATGTGTGTGATGTATGCGTATGTGTATGTAAATTCGGGACCCACACATTCAACTTCTTAACACTCTTTATTAAGAAGGGTCCAAAATAACACATTTACAACGCCCAAACGTATACACACAAATGAATTTCCCGACTATAAGTCTTTATAAGCCTTCTATTAATATGTCATTATTTCAGGAACACATTCACAAATACACACACACACAAATAGATAGATAGATAGATAGATAGATAGATAGATAGACAGAGAGATAGATAGATAGATAGATAGATAGATAGATAGATAGATAGATAGATATTACTCCCAAAAAATGAAAGAGAGGCAGTGAAAATGAAAGAAAAAGTGTAAAAATGAAAGCGAGGGAATGAAAATGAAAGAGAGAAAGTGAAATTGAAAGAGAGGGTGAAAAAATGAAAGACAGGGAGTGAAAATTGAAGAGATGTAAAAATGAGAATGAGGGAGTAAAAATGAAAGTGAGGTATTGAAAATAAAAGAGAGGAAGTGAAAATGAAAGAGAGGAAGTGAAAATGAAAGAGAGGAAGTGAAAATGAAAGAGAGGGTGTAAAAATGAAAGTGAGGTATTGAAAATGAAAGAGAAGAAGTGAAAATGAAAGAGAGGAAGTAAAAATGAAAGTGAGGTATTGAAAATGAAAGAGAGGAAGTGAAAATGAAAGAGAGGAAGTGAAAATGAAAGAGAGGGTGTAAAAATGAAAGTGAGGTATTGAAAATGAAAGAGAGGAAGTGAAAATGAAAGAGAGGAAGTGAAAATGAAAGAGAGGAAGTGAAAATGAAAGAGAGGAAGTGAAAATGAAAGTGAGGTATTGAAAATGAAAGAGAAGAAGTGAAAATGAAAGAGAGGAAGTAAAAATGAAAGTGAGGTATTGAAAATGAAAGAGAGGAAGTGAAAATGAAAGAGGAAGTGAAAATGAAAGAGAGGGAGTAAAAATGAAAGTGAGGTATTGAAAATGAAAGAGAGGAAGTGACAATGGAAGAGAGGAAGTGAAAATGAAAAAGAGGGTGTAAAAATGAAAGTGAGGTATTGAAAATGAAAGAGAGGAAGTGAAAATGAAAGAGAGGAAGTAAAAATGAAAGAGAGGAAGTGAAAATGAAAGAGAGGAAGTGAAAATGAAAGAGTTGAAGTGAAAATGAAAGTGAGGTATTGAAAATGAAAGAGAAGAAGTGAAAATGAAAGAGAGGAAGTAAAAATGAAAGTGAGGTATTGAAAATGAAAGAGAGGAAGTGAAAATGAAAGAGAGGAAGTGAAAATGAAAGAGAGGGGGTAAAAATGAAAGTGAGGTATTGAAAATGAAAGAGAAGAAGTGAAAATAAAAGAGAGGAAGTAAAAATGAAAGTGAGGTATTGAAAATGAAAGAGAGGAAGTGAAAATGAAAGAGAGGAAGTGAAAATGAAAGTGAGGTATTGAAAATGAAAGAGAGGAAGTGAAAATGAAAGAGAGGAATTGAAAATGAAAGAGAGGAAGTAAAAAAATGAAAGTGAGGTATTGAAAATGAAAAGAGAGGAAGTGAAATGAAAGAGAGGAAGTGAAAATGAAAGAGAGGAAGGAAAATGAAAGTGAGGTATTGAAAATGAAAGAGAGGAAGTGAAAATGAAAGAGAGGAATTGAAAATGAAAGAGAGGAAGTAAAAATGAAAGTGAGGTATTGAAAATGAAAGAGAGGAAGTGAAAATGAAAGAGAGGAAGTGAAAATGAAAGAGAGGGGTAAAAAAATGAAAGTGAGGTATTGAAAATGAGAGAGAAGTGAAATGAAAGAGAGGAAGTAAAATGAAAGTGAGGTATTGAAAATGAAAGAGAGGAAGTGAAAATGAAAGAGAGGAAGTGAAAAATGAAAGAGAGGGGTGTAAAAATGAAAGTGATGTATTGAAAATGAAAAGAGAGGAAGTGAAAATGAAAGAGAGGAAGTGAAAATGAAAGAGAGGAAGTGAAATGAAAGTGAGGTATTGAAAATGAAAGAGAAGAAGTGAAAATGAAAGAGAGGAAGTAAAATGAAAGTAAGGTATTGAAAATGAAAGAGAGGAAGTGAAAATGAAAGAGGAAGTGAAAATGAAAGAGAGGGAGTAAAAATGAAAGTGAGGTATTGAAAATGAAAGAGAGGAAGTGACAATGGAAGAGAGGAAGTGAAAATGAAAGAGAGGGTGTAAAAATGAAAGTGAGGTATTGAAAATGAAAGAGAGGAAGTGAAAATGAAAGAGTTGAAGTGAAAATGAAAGTGAGGTATTGAAAATGAAAGAGAAGAAGTGAAAATGAAAGAGAGGAAGTAAAAATGAAAGTGAGGTATTGAAAATGAAAGAGAGGAAGCGAAAATGAAAGAGAGGAAGTGAAAATGAAAGTGAGGTATTGAAAATGAAAGAGAGGAAGTGAAAATGAAAGAGAGGAAGTGAAAATGAAAGAGAGAAAGTAAAAATGAAAGTGAGGTATTGAAAATGAAAGAGAGGAAGTGAAAATGAAAGAGAGGAAGTGAAAATGAAAGAGAGGAAGTAAAAATGAAAGTGAGGTATTGAAAATAAAAGAGAAGAAGTGAAAATGAAAGAGAGGGAGTAAAAATGAAAGTGAGGTATTGAAAACGAAAGAGAGGAAGTGAAAATGAAAGAGAGGAAGTGAAAATGAAAGTGAGGGTGTAAAAATGAAAGTGAGGTATTGAAAATGAAAGAGAGGAAGTGAAAATGAAAGAGAGGAAGTGAAAATGAAAGAGAGGAATTAAAAATGAAAGTGAGGTATTGAAAATGAAAGAGAGGCAGTGAAAATGAAAGAAAAAGTGTAAAAATGAAAGTGAGGGAATGAAAATGAAAGAGAGTAAGTGAAAATGAAAGAGAGGAAGTGAAAACGAAAGAGAGGAAGTAAAAATGAAAGTGAGGTATTGAAAATGAAAGAGAGGAAGTGAAAATGAAAGAGAGGAAGTGAAAATGAAAGAGAGGGTGTAAAAATGAAAGTGACGTATTGAAAATGAAAGAGAAGAAGTGAAAATGAAAGAGAGTAAGTGAAAATGAAAGAGTGGGTGTAAAAATGAAAGTGAGGTATTGAAAATAAAAGAGAAGAAGTGAAAATGAAAGAGAGGGAGTAAAAGTGAAAGTGAGGTATTTAAAACGAAAGAGCGGAAGTGAAAATGAAAGAGAGGAAGTGAAAATGAAAGAGAGGGTGTAAAAATGAAAGTGAGGTATTGAAAATGAAAGAGAGGAAGTGAAAATGAAAGAGAGGAAGTGAAAATGAAAGAGAGGAAGTGAAAAAAATGAAAGTGAGGTATTGAAAATGAAAGAGAAGAAGTGAAAAATGAAAGAGGAAGTGAAAATGAAAGAGAGGGAGTAAAAATGAAAGTGAGGTATTGAAATGAAAGAGAGGAAGTGACAATGAAAATAAAAAGAGAGGAAGTGAAAATGAAAGAGAGGGTGTAAAATGAAAGTGAGGTATTGAAAAAATGAAAGAGAGGAAGTGAAAATGAAAGAGTTGAAGTGAAAATGAAAGTGAGGTATTGAAAATGAAAGAGAAGAAGTGAAATGAAAGAGAGGAAGTAAAAATGAAAGTGAGGTATTGAAAATGAAAGAGAGGAAGGGAAAATGAAAGAGAGGAAGTGAAAATGAAAGTGAGGTATTGAAATGAAAAGAGAGGAAGTGAAAATGAAAGAGAGGAAGTGAAAATGAAAGAGAGAAAGTAAAAATGAAAGTGAGGTATTGAAAATGAAAGAGAGGAAGTGAAATGAAAGAGAGGAAGTGAAAATGAAAGAGAGGAAGTAAAAATGAAAGTGAGGTATTGAAAATAAAAGAGAAGAAGTGAAAATGAAAAAGAGAGGGAGAAAAAAATGAAAGTGAGGTATTGAAAACGAAAGAGAGGAAGTGAAAAATGAAAAAGGAGAGAAAGTGAAAATGAAAGAGAGGGTGTAAAATGAAAGTGAGGTATTGAAAATGAAAGAGAGGAAGTGAAAATGAAAGAGAGGAAGTGAAAATGAAAAGAGAGGAATTAAAATGAAAGTGAGGTATTGAAAATGAAAGAGAGGCAGTGAAAATGAAAGAAAAGTGTAAAATGAAAGAAAGAGGGAATGAAATGAAAGAGAGTAAGTGAAAAATGAAAAGAGAGGAAGTGAAAACGAAAGAGAGGAAGAAAAAATGAAAGTGAGGTATTGAAAATGAAAGAGAGGAAGAAAATGAAAGAGAGGAAGTGAAAATGAAAGAGAGGGTGAAAAAAAGAGAAAGTGACGTATTGAAAATGAAAGAGAAGAAGTGAAAATGAAAGAGAGGAAGTGAAAATGAAAGAGAGGAAAAAAAATGAAAGTGAGGTATTGAAAATAAAAGAGAAGAAGTGAAATGAAAGAGAGGAAGTAAAATGAAAGTGAGGTATTTAAAATGAAAGAGCGGAAGTGAAAATGAAAGAGAGGAAGTGAAAATGAAAGAGAGGTAAAATGAAAGAGAGGAATTGAAAATGAAAGAGAGGAAGTGAAAATGAAAGAGAGGAAGTGAAAATGAAAGAGAGGAAGTGAAAATGAAAAGTGAGGTATTGAAAATGAAAG